TCTCCCTTCTCTATAAGCTTCTTCGGGCAAAAATTAAAAAATTAAAAAATTCTCCACTGAAGTTTGACCCATTTACCACTTTCCTGAAAAATTGAAGTTTTCTATACGTAATGTACCATCAAAAATAAGTTGACCATACCCATTCCTTCTATTTCTCTTTTAACTATTAGGGTGTTCGGGTTAGTTTACATGTACTTCGACTAATCCCTTCGCTTGTCCGATCAAAGGCAGGTCATCCACGTCGAAACTGGGGTATTCGTGAAGGATAAATCTCTCATGGCCTACTCCAAAGAGTTGCCAAAATTTGAACTTTTACAACTCGTCATTATTACCACTTAAGCTACCCTCCGAATTTATTCCTTCTATTTCTGAACAGTGTCCTTTGTAACATGGAGCCTCTGAAGCCTTCAATCACCTTTCATTCTCTCCCAAGGCATAAAAATGACGTATCTAATACATGAGGTTCTCTTTAGTGTGAGCTCAAGAGGGTTAGATATACGCAACCTTATTATTATAAAATAAGAGTTATTTTCATAACTCAAACTTGTGACCTCTAAATCATAATAGAACAATCTTATCATTATGTCAAGCCCCGCACTCTTTCATTCTCTCCCAAGGCATGTGGAACCATAATAACAGTAATTATTTTCAAGCTTAAAATAGTATCCCAATTTTCTGATACAAAATGACATTTATTGTAGTTTTTTTTTTTCTCCTTGTCCTTTTGCTTTAATCAGTTTGGTTTCATTTAGGTCAGGAAAATTATTTTAATGTTGAACAAATGGTCTATTAATTAATTCTTATTCAAAAACATCTGCAGAAAAAAAAGAGGGAGGGGGCATACGCAGGAACCTGTGCGGTCACAACAATATATCTGCATTTGACCGATCATTTGGTTTAAAATAAGCTGAGATAGTTTGACGAAATGACTCAGCCACCCCAACGCATGCATGTGTTCTTACGTGGAAGGAATCGGACACACAACAAGGACAAATTTTCCACTTGATGGAATTATTGAAGGGCAATTGAGACATTTTAATGAAGGGCCAAGGTGGGAGTGGGGTTGAGCACCATGTGGGGGGTTTTCTCATTTTTCTTTTTATTTGTCATGTTTTTTTTTTTTTTTTTGGGGGGGGTGGGGGGTTAGATGCATGTATCATAAGAAAGATGTCAACGGTGCTTTGTTATTTTTGATCGTATTATTTTTGAATTGTGTTATGTTTGTGTTCATATTTTTGTTAAATTTATATTATATTATATAAAAAATTTTAAAAATTTATTTTTTATTTATATTATCCATTAATCATATTATTCGTATATAACTTTATTTTAACTTATTATTATTTGTACAATTAATTGTATTATTTTCAAAAAAATTTATTAGGGTTGAATTCGTAAATTAGTTACAAATATTTGTTCATACATAAATGTAAAGTAAAATACAATATTATAATAAACAATAAAAAAAATGTATATAACATCAACCTACATGCATAACATATATTTTCACATTAAATTGTTACACCACGAAAATTATGTTATAACTACTGAAACATAATAATTAAAACATTTGAAAAATAATATTAGTTGACAATATTCAATATTCTGTTTTTTATTCAAAATCCACGATTTTTACGTCATATTTAACTTTATCTAAATAATAATAAAATTTATAACTAATATAATAAAAATTAAAATAATACTCTCACAAATAAACTAAGTTTGCAGATGATGTCAAATGACCAATTATAATTATCAAAAATTCAACCAACTTCCAAAAACTACGACCTAAAAAAAAAGGATTATAATTAAGTGTTTATTCATTCTCTAAAACCATATATTTTTTGTTTTATCCACATTCAAATAATAAAAATATAGAGAAATAATGTTTACCTAAAAAATATTACTTCATCTGTGCAGGTCATATTCATAGTAGGTTTAGTTGAACCTCTATGTCTTCTAACTCTGGTGAATAGAGTATGTCATTTTCGATATCTATCAATGTCTCTTCTAATTCTATTATATCTATGAAAATCATTCTCAAACTTCTTATTGATTATGTCNTAATGTTTACCTAAAAAATATTACTTCATCTGTGCAGGTCATATTCATAGTAGGTTCAGTTGAACCTCTATGTCTTCTAACTCTGGTGAATAGAGTATGTCATTTTCGATATCTGTCAATGTCTTTTCTAATTCTATTATATCTATGAAAATCATTCTCAAACTTCTTATTGATTATGTCAATTTGTCATGTAGATGAAAGTGCGTTAACAACAACATATAACATAATTGGATAATGTGAAACAATAACCAATTGACCGATCATTTGGTTTAAAACATTATTTGATATGGTTAGGAGTGTAGCATAGACAGATAATATCCAACCCGATTCAAAAATATTCAATATTTAAGTAGAGATTTTTAATACTCAGGCCGAGTTCGAGTAAAAAAACTTCCGACCCAATTATTTTATAACCATATTCCAAATTAACTAATCCCAGTCCAACCCGAGAATTGGACCGACTTTATCAACCCAAATTGAAATAAGATCTCGGGCCAAACAAATTCAAATTCCAACCAATGTTTTGTATTACGAGTTCAGAAATCTAAACTCGAACAGTACCGTGTTAAAGGGATAATGGTAAAGATCAGGTTAAATTGAGCTACGATGGATCTCTTACCCCATCCTAATTACATATGGTGCAAACTGAATACTACTTCCAGGGTAGGGGTTTGTGTGTGTGTGTGTGTGTGTGTGAGAGAGAGAGAGAGAGAGAGGAGCAGACAGGCAAGCAAGAAGTTTTTGGTAAGTAGAGGTTGGTAGTTCAATGTAAATGAGTTACCTATCCCCTACCGAATTGCTAGCTAACACAAGATCAAAAAAAGGAAAAGAAAAGAATTGCTAGCTAACTCATCTATAAGTGACGGTGTGAAGGTTATACACCAAAGTCAAACACAAGTTCGGCACCAGTAGCATGTGCATGGTCGCCAAGCAATACATGCGCCTGCTTGCTTTCCCAACAGTTCCAGTCAAATTCTTCTTTAATTTGTATCACCTTTCCAGCTGCATATGCTTATTTACTTGTCATTTTATTATATCTCACAAGGGGATTTGAGTACCGTATCGAACAAGATATCATACCATACCATACCATACCAAAAGTCACTATTAAATTAGAGTCTCAGCCTACCTGCACCCAAAGCCATGTTAATGGAACCTCGGATTTCATGTCAATAGTCTCTCGTAAGGGCATATTCGACCCTTACTTTTCTTTTTTTTAAGACTAAAATTAAAATTTGAATACAAAACTCTTAAAAACTTTCTCCAACCCTATACTCAACCTCATATCAAATTAAACTTTTTACTTAAATGTTAATTCAAATTTAAATAAAAATTTGAATCATGATTGAAAATGCTCTAATGTAATCAAATTATGATCTACTCCAATATTATCTCTCTCTAATAATATATTACCCATTGTATACCAATGAACCTTAGAAATACAACAAGTTTCACTTGAATTTACCGGAGAATATCTAATATTTAGGCGACTGAGCAAAAATCAATAGCCCATCTGCTGGCTGTGCTAAGATTCACACATGCCAGTCAAACAGTAGACCCATACGAACAGTTAGTGATATCACATTCAAAGAATATACTACTGGAGCTGATGATTTGAATCCCGAAATGTTGGACATACCCAATCTCGCCATTGCGGAATCTAAGAAAGATTAAATATGCGTAACCTTACCCCTAAAATTATAATTGATCAACCTCACCGATGCGCTAAGACCCACCCTCTGATAACATACCAGTTACAAGTATCTAGTCTGGAAAGAAATAACTGTAAGGATTGAGTCTATAACATGTCTTTCAGGTTGCTGTTAGGATTGAGTCTAACGTGTGGATAACCATAACCAGAAGCGGCTTCCGAAAGCAAGAANGAAAGAAATAACTGTAAGGATTGAGTCTATAACATGTCTTTCAGGTTGCTGTTAGGAAAATTTGGTCTAATCATAGTTCTAACGTGTGGATAACCATAACCAGAAGCGGCTTCCGAAAGCAAGAAGTTAGATACTGAAGAATGATATCACTGACCTGATTAAGTAAAATAACGAATCGGGCTAAAGCTAAGCCAAGCACTGCACATATTAATGAGATTCATAAGCTATATTGAACAGGCATGTAGGCTGGTAAGCTCAGATGATGGCAATAAAGTACTCAAGTTCAGGGCATTTCCATTCTACATACCACTGGACCACTTCTCACAATCAACCAGTCCAATTCCTGGTATGGAGAATTCCGTGCATTGGGCGAAGTCTTGCCAGGACACAAGTCTCAGATTAGTGAGAGATTTCCATGACTCGAGCCAAATTTCATGCACGGTAGACAAGCAAGACATGATGTAGATAGAGGTTCGGAAGACGCAATCATCATTTCAGATTGAGATTTCGGTATATTCCCATAACACCTGCGACTTCAAACTTTTGAAAGTACTTACACCTACAGATTCAACCCCACAGGCAGTGCAGCAAAGTACTAACACAGCATTTAAGCCTCACAAGATGGTTGAGAAAGAATGGAATGCCATAACTGCACAGATAAACATGGTCCGAAACGGTGTATCATGGGACTAAGTGCTGTAACTTGTCTTCTAAGTGGCACTAAACGGTAGCTATGTTATCATGAACTGTAATAAATTCACAGAAATCAACAATCCACCACATATATGAGCAAACGGGACAAAGACTGACGTATATAATGTGGGGCAGCAGACAATCAGACAATATCTTAGGAATCTCAAAACTACTTATAACTCAAATGTTCACACGTACCACAAAAAGTGAACTTCCGGAAGACACTCATTTCCAGGTCTTCCTCCTCCATCAAGTAAACATCAGTCACACAGAAAAACCTGATCGACAAATCTCCCGACTCAAAAAAATTAAGGATGACCATCTCCAGTGAATACCATCTTACCGAGCAAGCACTCCTCACTCTGTTCACCAGTACTTAAAAGCCTACAAAATTATTCACCAAATAACCAACCCAACAACTGCTTTAAATGGGACCAAAACAAATAGATATAAAATTTGGCATAACAGGAACATTAAACAAGGTAAGCAAATTCACTAGTGCACTCATTCTATGGGATGTCACTTTGTGGCATTAGAGCTTGAGAATCACAATCATAAGCGGAACACCTATGCAGACATAAAGAAAAAGACATGAAAAGGAGAGAAGATTATATAACTGTATATCAGAAGTCGAAAGACTACCCTGAAAAGAAACATTCTGGATAAAGCCACTCCAAACCCATATGAAAATTATAGCAGAAGCTCTATATTCTAGTAGAAAATTAAATATTATTTCCACATGTAAAGCACATATCACCATAATCACTCTGGTTATTGTTCCCCGCCTCTCGCTGAACCAAAGTGGTCAGCTCCCTCAGGCATTGATAAATGCCGCTCATGGTGTCCTGAGGTGGCGGAAGTGGTTGGGTATCCGCAGATCTCTTAGGTCGGGCACATGATATCCTGTCGTCAATCCTACATGTACAGACAAATCTTAGCTCTCAACATGGGAAAACTTCAGCTACCTTCATTATCATATATTTAAGGACACTTATTGCATTATCTAAATGTCATTGCATCCCCTTCTACTTGATATCTTCATTTAGATTTAAATACAATGATGTCACCAAAGTTTCTATTATTTCAATTTACCTCCGGTTAATAATCTAATATTATCCTGATATTGACATGATTAAATACTCTACAAAAATCTGAGGTACCATTTGGTAATGCTAATCTATATAAATTTTAATATATAAACAGTAGATTTATGAATGAATCGAGAAAACTTGGACAGGTAAACAGCAAGAAAGCAAATATTCAACAACTTTACTTTCAAAATGTATCCGAAAAAGACAAAAAAAAAAATAATTGGAAAATACTTACCAAACAGTGGATAAATAAAGATAAATATAAGGATACTAAAAACCATCTCTATATTAAATGAATAATAACAAATTGAAAATTAACACTGGAATATATCGTGATATATATCATATATCTTTATGTTAGTTTGAGAAATACTTATGTAAAATAGATATTTCTGATAAGTTGATCAATTAACAAACACCAACTGATAGGGGTAACTTCAAATTTTTAAAAAAAATTACCATGACATCAACAATTTTTTGTTTTATTTTAGCCTCTTATCATGGCAAGGGGTATGAATGAAGTGGGCAAACAAACTAAAAAAAGGCCAGTCAAATTTTAGATAATGCAAGGAGTGACCTTGAAGAGAGGACAATCTACAAGGGGGGTAAAAGAATGCACCTTATTGGCCAGGATGAGAATATGAATTATAATTCACATTTCATCGTCTGTAAGTATATCTTCTTCTAACGGACAATGGATAGGGGAAGAAGCATGGCCTCTACCTTTCTATGTTATAATTCTAAGGCCTTTTTAAAGATAATTCAAGGCCATTTTTTAGGGGGAAAAACTCTATGAAAGCAGCCGAACACCAGAGAACATAGTTCAAAGAAAAACAATAAATCTGCACAGAAACTCATAAGTCATAGTGAAAACAAATTTGCATAAATTTTCCAGATCGTATATTTTGGTTGTATGGACATACAAAAATCATCAAACAGCTGTAATTCTCTTAGTTTCTCTACATTACAACTTTTGTTGCTCTCTCTCCTCTCTGGTTTATCTATTTCTATGGCAGTAATGCTTTACCATGTTCTTTTATGATCGGTTAGTTTCTTGGTTCTCCTTTGTCTCTATTATCAGTTTACACATTAGAAACTTATGCTTTTGTCTTGCTCCCATAGGGGAATCAACGCTATGCTTCAAGTCCCATGGGCTTGTGAGCGAGGAGGAGGAAGAGGATGAAAAAGATTATTGTATCCATTTTCAAATCTTCCAACTTTTGAATCACTGTACAAACTTAAATCATTTGTCAAGCAAACAACCAAATAAATAGAACCCTAGTAGAGAAAAGTGATGATGGTATGAACACCATACACAGAGGCAGCAATAGAAACAATCAAAGCCCTACCCAGCCAACCCACACACCGACTGAAAAAAGACAGAAAAATCAAATAATAGGAAAAAAGAACAAGAACAAGTATGTCAGCCATAATACAATTTCAAGCAAATAATCAAATATATAGTCAAAGGAACTTTAAAGGCGTCCATGTAAGAAAGAATGAAAAATCAAAACAGAAGCACAATTACATAACTCTGCTAGGCCTCACCAAGCAACAGTAATTGAAACTAAAAAGGTATATCATGCCACTCACCATGCCCATATGAGATTCGCATTAAACCCAATATCAGCCATGGCCATCGGATGGATGGCCCAAAAGAGAGGCATGATTAAACTAGTTACAATTCAAAATTTCATGCAGGAAAGATATTAGAGAGCATATGTAGTCCTGTTTATTCAGATTTAATCTTGAATTAGGTAATTAACAATACAGCTCGGACTTACCAATAACTGGACCATAACATGAGAGAAAAGCATCTCAAATCAAACAGAAGTTCCACCAATTAGAGGGAAAACACTTCATCAAAAATTTCCAAATTATATTTGGTCTTCCGTGAAGTTTATAGAAAGATCCCAATAGTGAGCAACCCCAGCATCAGAAAAAACTTTACGGGCAGCAGCTTCAGTCCTGCAATCATGAACAAAAAACCTATTGAAGCTTGATTTAGCAACGCTTCCCTGCCAAACCAGCACACACCTATTGATGGGTTTCTCATCGTCTTCATCTTCATCCTCATCTTTTTTCACTGCAGCAGCCCAGTTTATACGCTTAAGCATAAGCTTCCCATACCTCTTAATAGATTTGCTTCCACCTTCAACCACCACGACACTAATGCCATCTGAAATTACTGCACAACCGGTCAACCGATTCTCCCGGGCGTTAACATCAATCTTGAACCGACTCTGGGGATGTGAGAGATCATTAATCTTGTATACTGACACTATAGTTTCAAGAGTATTTGGGTCATCAAAAAGCTTCCTCTCTTTCTTTTCACGACGTTCGGCAGGAGTGAGCTTGCGTGCAATATTCCTGTCCACATGAGCTTGTTCACGCTCAGCAGCTGCACTTCGGACTTCCATTTCAAGCCTGGTGGGATCCTGGGTTGCTTCAGAGCCAAGAACTTTCATGAGATTGCTCATTTTAACTTTTGGTTTTGGAGGTTCTATCAGACCTTGGCGAATCATCTCCTGTCTGTCTTTCTCCCTAGCCAGTCGCCGTTGGGTGCGGAGTTTCTTCTGCTCCTTCTTGGTTAACTTCAGGGGTTGAGGTGGGGGTGGAGCTGGTTCAGCTGGGGGCTCAATAGAACGAGGGTGTTCAACATAGATAGTGATCTTCTCCATCTTCAGATTATCTTCACTTATGATACCATCTGCAATGTCTCCATACGTACTAGATTTCATAAGAGGCACATCCCTGCAAGTCCAGCATGTAAAATTAGAGAAGCATAACTAACACCAGAGATGGCCAGTACTTTATTTTTATCAAAAAAAAAAAAAAAGGGATGTAACAGAAATCCAGTAAATTGTAATATAGTAAATGTATGGAGATAAATACTTTTTCTCAAATCTAATAAGAGTGCAAAACATGTTGGAAAAAGGGAAAATAATGAGGGGAGGGATCCCCTGCCTCATCAAGTACAGAAGCTTCTGAAGCAAAAAAAAAAATCTCACATTACAATAATTAAAAAAAGACATGACATGAAAGACCTTTTATTTACCCTTCACCCCAGCACTACTTGCAAACCCCAACCTGACTACACAAGCTATTAACGTAATTCTAAGCAGATGGAAAATGTAAACCACTATTGGCATTCCCAGTAGAAACTACTAAAACTTTGTCTTCCAAAAGTGGATAATTGTGAACCCATTAAATAAACGAAGTTAGGTCAACTTACCACCACTCAATTTCAGGAATTGGTTCCTTTGGTTTTTCTTTGACGATAACTCTCTCCGATACGTCTATCAGATTTGGATTTATATCGGGCTCTGCCTTAGCCCTTGCCAGCAGTGCTTGCTTTGCCTTTAGCTCTTTGGCTTGTGCTTCTCCCAACTGACTCTGCGAAAGCAAAAGGCAACAAAAATTAAAACAGGTGGAATATGAGAGAAGAGGTGAGGAGAGAGAAGTATGAAACAAAGAATACCTTAAACTTCATATGCTCAGCATCTTTTGACCACTTGCCTTCCTCTACAAACTGAAAAGATGACCTCTTGGGCCTCAAAATCTTATTTTTGTTAATACCCATCCTGGCATCAAAATGAGGATTTTCCTCGGGATCAACATCCAGTTCAGGTTTGAGTATTTGGAATGCTTCTTTTTTCTGCTTATTGATGTTGACCTGGATTATTGATTGAATGACAGAACCAAGCACTTAGTTACAAAATCATAAACAAAAACTATGGAAAACTGAAATCAAAGGGAGCAGGAACTGACCTTTAGGGTACTCAGGGTCTTCAAATTAGGCATATTTATCACATTACCATGCTCATCAACTTCCCTGAACTGTGTATCCACACGAAGAAAAAGGGCCTTGGCAGGCTTTGGCTGGACAGTAACCTCAGGTGGCATCTGCCCAGGAAACATGTTTATCAGGGGACCAAAATCTGGGTCCTGTCGAAATCCCAGCTTTGCAGCAAGCTCTTGTGCACGTTTTACAGCTTCATACTTTTGTGCTGTAAGCCCAGCAAGATGAGGGATATCACTTGCAGATGGTGTCACAGCAGCAGGAGGTAAAGCTGACGCACTTGATGTTGCTCCAGCAGGAACAGGAACAGCGGCAGTTCCTGAGGAGACAGGTGTGTGAAGAATTCCTGAACTAGCAAATGAGGCTTTGAAACCCTCCTTTGATCCCACTTGGGGACTTCCGACTGAGCTTGAGCCAGCATCCTTGTTTAACTGGATAATCAAAATGAGAGCAAGCCACCAATTGCATTGTGAGAATAAAGACTTACTTGTGCTTTTCAAACATGCAGGGAAATGCTAATATACGGTGCGCTAAAGTTTCTTGACACTACGCAATCTAGAATAACAACAGCAAAATGTATATGGTATCCAAAGGTATCATGAATTCTTGATGAAAAACCCACCTGAGGAATCTTCTTCAGCTTTTCTGAGAGCTCCTTCTGCATTTGTAAAGCTCTCTTTGCTTTTGCTAAGGCATCAAGAGATAACCCTCCACTCTTGCCAGCATCTGAAGCTGTCCCATCTGTACTGGATTTCCCAGGAACCTCATGAGATCTGTCAATATTAACTCCCTTATTTTCAGTTGTGGTAGAAATCAAAGATACCTTGGTAGGAGGGGGATGGCTAGGGGCCAATGAGGTCTCAGGTAAAGCCCTTGATGCTACATTGAGTGGTTCAAACACAGCACCCTGTAAGTAGTAAAAGTCAAATGCACAAGTCAGGATGCAAATCCCACCAACCAAATTCAAGACATAAAATGTATTTTTTTTTTTTTTTGGTTGAGGGGAAATTATGACATATAGATGATCCCAAATAACAAACACTAGCAGCACTCATGAGGTAACAAGGCAGTACCATTTAAACTCCCTACCCAGACGACAATTTGTAACATAAAAGAAAATTAGAGGCTGAACAATTCTAAAGACTAAATGCAGCACCTTAAGGTAGCTAAAAATGAATATAGCACACTATACTTTTACATATTTGAATCCAACAACATGCAAGGTCTACAAACTAAAGGAAAGCCAAGAATGTACACAACATTCAGAAGAATAACAAGCAGACCTCATCATAAAGATTTGATCTCCCGGGGATCCCAAAAAAAAAAGAATTGGCGACATGTTAATAGACCAAATCTCTCAATTGACTAGACATTTAAAGGACTAACCTTGCTTCCACGAATATTCGTGCATGTCATTCAAATGTCTACTCTTAACTTCTCGTTGCTGTAAATACAGATAATACCTCTACCATGGAACAGATATACCTTTGTTAATGTTAAAAAACTACCAGGGTTTCATACAAAATATTAGGTGAAAGTCACTAAAATATGCCAAAAAACCATGTTCAGAAACCTCTTTGATTTAATTTCATTAAAAAATCAGAAACGTAAAATATATAAGGAAGCCATATCATTCAAAGCAATAATATACTAGTGATTTAATTTCATTAAAAAATCAGAACCGTAAAATATATAAGGAAACCATGTCATTCAAAGCAATAATATACTAGCAGGACACAGAAGATGAAAGTCAGAGATATCAAATGGCAGATGTGTTTGTTGACCAACAAAGAAGAAACAAAAAAAAAATGTGCATAGGTTGTGCCCTCTGGTCACCTTTTTGTGGATTTGAAGTTTATTTGCCCAAAAAAATGACAAACTAGTATTTCTGAATGACAAAGTCTAGAGCAAGAAGTGAGTGCTGATTTTCCATGCTCTCATGAACCCTTTAATATTATGGTACAATCAAAGCCAGCTGGATTCAAAATGAAATACTTCAAAACTGGAATGGAAAATCTGACAATGTACCAAGAAAAAGTTCACACGTAGGATGCAAATAATCCACTTACAAACACAAACAATTGCACTTTTCTTATTCGAATTAAAAATATGTATATACAAAAAACAAAAATATCGAGAATTTCACCTTCTCTTCATAACTTGTGGAATTACCTATTTAAACCCCTCACAACTGGGAGGTTTTTTTTGTGCCAGGAGAGGGCAGGTATTGCAAATTGTCAAGACCAAGAGAGAGTAGCATCAAAACAAAGCAGAGCCTTGTAGCCATAAATTGATTGACTTAATAACCGGTATGACATCAGTCTTTATAGATCCACAAGTAAGGATATCTCACATTATTTGTTGATGATGTGGTGATTGAGTACAATTGCATACAAACAGATTTCCAGTATGCGTCTGTTGCAATCCACACTACAAACATTATCAAGTATGATTGGCCCTTTGCACAAGGTACACTACTCTCACTTGAAACAACATTAAGCAGATATTCCTTTAAAAATTTACCTTAAGCAACACTAGGTCGTATATTGGTGTTATAGAAAACAATTAAGTCAACAAAACAACAAATGTAAGCATGTATGCAACACCAACGAATTACCCAATAATGCCATCAAAACACCTAATAGTTCAGTTTTCTAGTTCTAACATTCAAAAGGAATAAAACATATAAATATGCAGTAAAATATGTAATGGCAATAAGGAAAACTCACATTGGCACCGAAACCACCCCCATTATCAACCGGCTTATCCTCGGGCTCTTCCTTCACCAATTTATCTTCAAAAACCCCTTGATTCCCATCCTCATCAACATCTATATCTTCCTTCTTCACTCTATCCTCAAACCTTTTCCTCTCTCTCCTCTCCTCTCTATCTTCGGCCTCACCATCCTCGAATCTCCTTCTCCGTCTCCTCTCACCTCCGTTCAACTCCTTGACATCCTCAACCCCATCCTCAAACTTAACCATCACCTTCCTGTCCTCCGAAACCCTAACTCTCTTCTCACCACCTCCATTCAAATCCTCGTTCTCCCCTCTCCCTTTCCTCTTGTGCGAATGCGAATGCGAATGCCTCCTTTCCACCGATCCTTCTATGTCATTCGATTTCTCGTGCTTAATTTCACGCTCGTACGATTTCTCGCGCTTATCGCGATCTCTGCTTCTCTCTCTTTCGCTTCTTGCCTCAATTGATTTCTCGCGATCAATAGAGTACTCTCTCGAAGCCCTACGGTGGTTATCTTCTCTGCGGTGACGAACGTCGCTGTCCCGGTGCTTTGACTGGTGGTGACGATCTTCATCTATATCCACATATTTGTCTTTGCTGCTTCGATGCTTGTGTTCTCTATCTCGATCTCTGTCTTTCTCACGATCGGTGGTATCTCGGTGTTTTCGGCTTGATTTCTGCTTCTCCGATGATCTGTCCATTCTAGGGTTAGGGTTTCACAGCGACTCGCCTACTCTCTCTTCTCCCACTTCGCTATTCTCCCTTGGCTATATTTTCCTGAAAGGGGATGAGAGAGTGAGGTTGGACACGATTAGCTTTTACTGTATATAATAAAGTAGTACCTGCGAACCTGCAATATCAAATTACTTTTTTTTTTTTAATCGAAACGATAATAAATTTATTTATTAAAATTAAATATTAATTGTATAATATTTATAATTTAAATAATATTTTTAATTATGTAATTTAAAATTAAATAAATAGAAAAAAAAAAGTGAGAGTTTTAAATGTAGATTAATGAATTGTTCCACATTAAAAAATGTGTTAGTTGATTTGTTTCACATAGAGGCATGTAGAGAAGAATAAGATGATANTGTAATTTAAAATTAAATAAATAGAAAAAAAAAAGTGAGAGTTTTAAATGTAGATTAGTGAATTGTTCCACATTAAAAAATGTGTTAGTTGATTTGTTTCACATAGAGGCATGTAGAGAAGAATAAGATGATATTTTTTGGTAAAATAAATTTTATATGAGCAGATCAAAATAGGTGAAAATTAAATTAATTTTAATTATTATTTTACGTTTATAATTTAAAATTTTAATTATCAAACTATAATATTAGATGAGAATAATCCATCCATATGATTGTTTTTCTTTGTGTTGGTTCTTCTTGTAACTATTTTTTAAATGGTGCACATATTGTTTACAGAAAGTCTTCCTCTAAATGTGTGACATAATATATACCACACACACTGTCTCAATTTTGAAATAAACCATAAGAGTATTTCAAGTGATAGTAAGGATGAGTTATAAATTCAGATATTTAAATTTTAAATTTTGATAATTTATTGGGAACAAGTCATCAGTGATTATCCCTCATATATCTCTTACTTTTGGCATGAATAATCTGCATTTGACTAAATTAGAGAAGGAATTACTTGAGATGTGCGTAAATTAGTCCAAATATTCCTAACTTCTAAAACAAAAAAATAAAAAAAAAATATCGTTACCCGTGAGTGATATATATAGTTTCATGGTACACTGGCCCACCTTCGTTTGATGATGTGTTGATAGTTGCCCCTTTTTCATCGTTAATATCTATGTTTATATCTATACTACTAATAGAAGGAAGGTAAGTAAAAAAATTTTGATCACCTATTATATTCCTATAAACAATATTAAAGGCATCTACATCCTTATTTATTTAATATTAATTATATATTCAAATAACTTTTCATATATTTCCATTTTCACAAGAATTATTGTTCCACATATTGCACTTTTTTTTTATTTTCTAATTACCTAATGTCAATTATATATTCAAATGACTCTTCATATATTTCCATTTTCACAATAATTATTATTCCATGTATTATACTTTCTTTTTACTTACAAGCAATGCAATGCATGTAAATACTTTTTTAGACAAAAATTAATAAATAAATATTTGGTATGTGTACCTAAATTAAATATCATCTCAAATTTATCAAACTTATTTTTGTATCGCTCACCCTTTAATATAGAATTTTTGAAAACTTTGTATGTTCTAAAGTTTTGTTGTTCTAACTTCAAGAAAAAGGATAAAAAAGAAAAGAAATAATTGAAGTTCTAATTTTGTAATTACAAGTGATATTTTAGTGATGTTTGAAAATTAAAATTTTTAAAATTAATTTGATTAAGATTATATTTATAAATCATTGAATAAAATACAAATAATTGTCAATATACCAATCATATTGAAATCTTACTGTATTTAGAATTAGTTAGGTCAATTGAGATAAGATTTAATATATTACGCTATAATATATAATAAATCATATTAAAATTTTAAAAAAATTAAGTTTTTCTTAAAAATATACTATAATCTATTTTCACATAAAATCTTAACACAGTTTGAAAAAATTATTGTGATTAAAGAATCATGAAAAACTATATATACATTATTTTTTATCTTAAAAATTAAAAGGTTAAACATTTTGATGAAAAATAAAATATATGTAGCCATAATGTTATCTTTATAAATGAGATGAGTAATGTTAGATTGATGAAGTTTTAAAAGGTTTTTTTGAATATTTTATTAAAACTTATAGTGATGAATATATTTTTTAAGAGTAATGTAGTCAAGCAAAAAGTTTTATAAAAAATTACATTTATAAATATAAAATAGATAATTAAAAGTGATCTTAGATGTAATTTGGAGATTGAAATGTATAAGGATATAATGATAATTTAGATATTAAGTGTGAAAGGATAAAATAATATTTTTAATTCTTTATGGTGGTGTTTGGATCAAAGGATTTGTGGGGATTGGATTAAAATTGTGAATGGGGTCTATTTGTCCTTTGAGTAAGTTTTTTGGGATTGGATTTTTGTTGTTTCTCAAAAAATTGGTCTTATGTTTTGAAGGGTGGAATCCCATTTGCAAGTGATTGAGAAATCCCTTCTGCTGTGAGGGATTGTGGAATTGAGAAGTATAATTAAAAATCTAAAATATCTTCCACAGTAAGAATCAATCTGTGGCCCTGAGAGCTGTCCGTTTATCAAATTCTCCTGTCATTCTATTCCACAATTCCTATTAATCACCTCTAAAACTCTTGATTCCAAAATGTAAATCAACACCAAACTTCAAAATAAAAGAAGAAGAAAAAAGAGTAGGGAAATGGGAAAAAAGAAAAAAGGAACAAAATACGTGTTGGATGACACCAAAAGGGTAGATATCACCGTAAGTAATATTCCAAGTAAATAACACATATGCATCTTCCCCCATTAATGCAGTCTATTAGTAAGCCGAGAACCACCAACAGAAGCCACACACCCTTCATCTTCTCTCTCTCCCTCTCTCTCTCTCTCTCTCTCTCTCTCTGATGCTGAAGCTAAAACATCTGGAACTCTATCCACGGTAACCCATAGAAGATGAGCAATTTAACCAAATTAAAATTCAATTTATACCCTTGTGGTTCAGTTTTTTTGCATTTTACCCTCTATGTTCAGAAATTAGCACATAACTCTTATACTTTTGAACTAAATTGTTATCATTAGAAATTCTCTGTAGAATGCAAGCACATGATTTGAGACTAAGTGTGTGAAAATATTCGGTCTAAGTCAACTTTGAATGCAAGGGTTTTGGTCTTATTAAAAAATCACATTTGTTCTGTGGTGTTGGATCTCATTACATCTTAAATTTTTAAGATTTTAAAAATTTTATGCTCATCCATTTGTTTCCTTAGCGCCTATTTGGTATATTTTTTGGGAAGGGTTTAGATTAGATTGTCCAAACTCGGATTTGATCAAAGATAGGATTCAAATATGGGTTTGAGGGATTAATGCTATCCATACCCATGTCTGGTATGCGCATGGTATATTAGTATTATGATAAGATATTTGTATTTATTTGACAATTTTGCCCCTTAACCAATTGAATCCAAACTCATGTTTGGTTACGTACATTCACTTGTGTCCTTATGGGTTAAATATATGATTAAATTTTTTTTCCTAACTTACGAAAAAATCCATGAATATTGATAAAAAAAATTAGTATTATTCATAACCATAATAAATGGCAACAAAGTGCAACTTTCTAACATTAACTTATACGGGATACATACAAAATTTGTCCATTCACAAATACATGAAAATCAAGAAGAGCTCAGTGGATCCATCTATCCAATGCAACTCTAATGAACAAATGAATGACAGATTAATTGATAGAATCCTAACTATTGTATGTCTATATTCAGAAAAAAAAGAACCATAGGCAGTGAGGAATACAAAGGTATCAACTAGAATCCTAGTATTAGCAAAATAAAGTAACAAGGAACTTACAACAGAGATTTTTGAACCAAAATATTCGATTCCACTTAACTTCTCTTGATCGAACAACCACGAGCAGCTTTTCTCAACTTTTAGATGTGTTGCGATCGAACAACCAGAGGGGGTTTATATAGGGCAATTGACGCTTTACTGAACTGTGATTGACTTGATAGGGCAAAAGAAATCTTTACAACATATTTCCCCAAATATTTTTTGTAGATCAAAGAAGATGACCGACTGATTTTTTCAATCGTTTACAGCAAAGAGGACACCAACCTTCTCTCTCTCCCCATTTAGTCTTTCCCAGAGATTTCCCAAATATTTTTTACAAGTAGTGTATTTGGCAAAAGATCTTCTTTGTGTTCATCGATCTCAACCCAGACAAATCTTCTGTCTGTGTTAAGCGATGGAGGTCAGGTCAGAGACATATGAATGGGGGTAATATGGTGTATATGGAATAAATTGGGGGAATAAATGTCATTTACTGTCTTAAATCCATTAACCCACATTTCACACCCCCCCACTAGGTTTCCTCAAACCCACGAGCTTGGGTTTCAATCCCGGGCCCTTAGCGGGCTGGGTTTCAAACCCGGGATTAAATATATATGTAACAAACATGGGTTCCAAAGGGTTTACTCCCCAACCCATTATCCTAGACCCACCCAAACCCTTTTAACAAACAGGCCCTTATGGATGAACTCTAAAAAAAATTAACATTTTTATTAAAGCAACATATTTTAAATTGACCTAATTTGTGCTATTAATTCATGCAATAATAATAAAATGCCCTAAAATTCATGGAAAATAAATTGCATTTCAGTCATTGAAAAAATTTAATATGGTTCGGATTAATTTTGCTATTTATTGACAAAAAAAAATTAAGGTTTATTTTTAAACACACAACTTTGGATTTTTTAGAAAGAAACAAATAACGACTTAGGCATGAGTTGAATCGATTTGTGTAGTGTTTTTGTATTGAATTTTTTTTTTTTTTTGCATAATGCATATGATTTTTGTTATTAAAAGTGTATTGCACAAATTAAATTAAATAAATGAACAAAATATTTATTGCAATATTTTGTAAAAATGCGTAATTTATTGATTCATATTTTTTTTCGTAAATAAGACAATACTAATGGATTTGACTTTTTTTTATTCTATTTCAAACATGGTATATGATTGGATAACATTTTTTTACACAAGAGTGAAATGGTCATTTTAATATGTTTTATCTTCACACGTGAATGAGGCCCACAAATCAAATGAAACCTA